TCTCCGACTCAGAATGGTACATACATATACATACATACATATATATATACATATATATATATATATATACATATACATATACATATACATGTATACATGTATGCATATATACATATACATAAATATATAAATATATAAATATATATATATATACATACATACACACACACACACACATATATATATATATATATAGGTATTCATGTATATATATACTATATGGAAGGGTATAGGTATAAATTGACGTGTACGTATATGGATCGTTGTGTTGTCTTGGGAGCGAAATCAGCAGTGAGCAATGGGACCACCTTAACGGGAAAGCCCACAGCAGAGCAGTGTCTCAGATATGTATACTGAACTCACCATCAAGGTCAAATACGCGCCAAGGTATAATGCAAGTGACCGTAAGACGGTAGTCAACTACTTTAGAGTGAGATATAGTTTACATGTATGTCAAGTACATGTCAAGTACATGACATGTAATGGCGACAATGACACTTATGATTACTATAACAAGTACGCCAGGTGTGATACTTAAACTACTTACAGAGCGCATGAGCCTTGGGCGCGTCCGAGTGTATCCTATTGAACAGTACATCAGAGTCTAAAGTGACCTGGCCCGCGGGGTACGGCTTGAGCGTCTCCTCAACGATCTTTGCCGCATTCGTATACTCTCCCCTATACCAGAACATGGCAGCCGCAGACAAACCTTAATGGACAGGTCAACAAGAAGAAACCGTTAAGGTTTAAGCTTTGGTTGGTATACTCTTCCCTATACCAGCACATGGCAAACGCAGACAAATCTTGATTGACAGATCAACGGGAAGACAAACTTTAAGGTTCAAGCTTTGGTTGGTATAATATAGCAGTCAGGGTCTATAGGCCACCCAGTAAGCGAGTATTAAAGCCAACGCCTCTGCGACAGATAACCGGAGAGTCCGAGTGCAACAGAACGGAATCTGCGCCCCTCGGCCGCAGCTACAGCCACTCTATACACACCTGACATCGGCTACAACTATACTATATATATATACCTGACATTAGCTACAACTATACTATGTATATATACCTGATATTAGCTACAACTATACTATGTATATATACCTGGCGTTAGCTACAACTATACTATGTATATATACCTCTCATCAGCTATAACCATACTTTGTACACACTACAACTATAGTATACATACATACATACATACATACCTACATATATATACACACACACACACACACACGCATATATATATATATATATACATATAACAAAACATATACATATATATAAATATATACATATACATATATATATATACATACATACATACATATATATATATGTATGTATATATATATATATATATACCTGGCAAAGTCGCCTCAAGTGTCGGCGAGTTTTGTAGCTGTTTAAACTGAAAGTATACCGAACTGCCATGCAGCACCCGTCCAGACTCATCGCACGCGCGTATGACTTTAGCGAAGGCCTCTCCGCCAACCAACTGCTTCTCATCCTCTGTCAAACGTTCTATCAGTCTTCGTGCCTGGTCCACGTGATTGTCTTTCAGTAGAGACGTAATACCGTAGCTGCAGGGGTGAGGGTAAGGGTGTGGGGGTGGGTGATATATATATCCGGATTCCTGTAAGTGTATGTGTAACAGGTTGCTATGTGTGTATGGGTGTGTAACCAATGCGAGGGCGATAGGAGTATAGGTTGCCAGTACATAAAGAAAGCTTCGACTATATAAGCCAATCCGCTGTGGCCAAGGCCCGGCTGGCCCCAGGCTTGCAGGTGTGTATTTGGATAGGTGTTTGAAGTAACATACACGTTGTATGCATAGGGCCTGTGTGAAGGAGACCAGAACGCTATGTCTTCGTACCAACTACACTAATAAACCATATATAACGGACTCTCGTCGTACCAACTACACTAATAAACTATATATAATGGACTCTCGTTGTACCAACTACACTAATAAACTATATATAACGGGCTCTCGTCGTACCAACTACACTAACAAACTATATATAACGGACTCTCGTCGTACCAACTACACTAATAAACTATATATAACGGACTCTCGAGAGACGGGGGCTATAAGCAATCAGTGCTATTAAGATCACTCTGGAAAATATAGCAGCGCAGTATGAGTTATGTACTGCTGTACCCCAGTAAGGGTTTGGGTCGGGATACCCTTGCAGCAAAGCTAAGATACGAACATCCGGTACATATTCAAAACACACATACGTATACATATACATACACATACGCATAGACATAGACATAGACATACACACACACAGATTCGGTACATGCACACACACATTCACATACACCTCCCCGGCGCATACCCACATCCACATACACACACCTCGATGCACATATCCTCATACCGTAGTGCAGCTATGTACTGTCCATGTTTGTCCAGGCTCTGTCCCACCACAATCGACTGTCGCATGGCAGTGACGATGTTAGCCGCCACGTCCGCACAGCCGTCATACGCAGCACACACGCTCAACGCCTCGGCGTACACATCCGAGGACATAAGTGCATGAGGTGCGTGCGCGTATGCAGGGGTGTGGTGGTGGTGGTCTAGGCCTCCCTCTTGCACCATCTGTGTACTTGTATGGGCTGTGGTCTGTGTCTTTGTATGGGCTTTGGTCTGTGTCTTTGTATGGGCTTTGGTCTGTGTCTTTGCCCTTGTTTTGGCCTGTAGCTCCATCTCCGCCTGTCGCAGGTCCGCCATGGCCGCATACACCTCGGAGACGAACTGCAACGCCTTCAGCGCATGGCCCTCGTCCTTGAACTTTCGGACCGTTTGCACCAGGATCTTCTCGTTGACCGTGTCCAGTCTCTCCTCTCCGGATGCACCCACACCCTCTGTGAGACTGTCCTCAATGGCCCAGGCCAAAAGCACAGCTTCGTCTTCGCCCTGAAACTGTTCATCTATACCCAGCCGGGTGATACGAGTACCAAACGCCGGCTCATCCGCTCCACCCGTACGCGCGACCGCCGCACCTAAGTCCTTATGCTCTACTGATTGGGTGTCACACCCCATCCTTCCCATATCCACACCATCCCCCCACACCCCCCCCTCTCGCAGTACGGTGTCTGAGTCTCTTGAGGTTAGTCCCTCTTCCACAGCACCAATCCGCTCCTCCTGCACCGCCAGACTATCTGTATCTGCCCCGGGCACCCCTATATCTCTCTGTACACTACCTACCCCCGTCGCATGCACAGCTTGGCGTCGACGCTCTCGCACATCCGCGATCATCTGTTTCATAAGCGATACCGTCGTGGGCAAATCGCCCAAGTGAGCACTGGCCAGCATAGCCACACCAAAGCTCTGCTGAGACACGCTACTACGCCTGCGCGTGTAGTTGAGCAAGTCGACTGACTCGGCATAGCGCTCGGCTTTGTAAAGGCCCAGCAGCGTCGCATTGAGAACGGCGTTGTCTGTCGTCACACCGCTAGCCTGCAGGAGAAGAAGGGGTTAGGATTTTAGTAGAGGTTATGGGTAGGCCCAGCAGCGTCGCATTGAGAATGGCGCTGTCTGTCGTCACACCGCTAGCCTGCAGGAGAAGAAGGGGTTAGGATTTTAGTAGAGGTTATGGGTGGGTGTGGTATGTAACCTGCAGGGAGAGTGGGAGAAGAAGGGCCTAGGGGTTTAGAGGTTATGGGTGGTGTGGTATGTAACCTGCAGGGAGAGTGGGAAAAGGAGGGTTTAGGGTTTTAGAGGTTATGGGTGGATGTGGTATGAAACCTGCGGGAGAGTGGGAGGAGAAGGGTTTAGGGTTTTAGAGGTTAATGGGCGGGTGTTATATTGTGTGTAAGAAGACATGGGCGTGTGCGAGAGAATGAGTTTGCATGATCAGCGGTATGTTCGGAATGGAACATACAGGTCTCAGGCAAAGCCTTGAGAGTGGTGTGTGAGCCTGAGCGGTAGGTATAGTGACGGTCGTTACAAGGAATGCTACAACGGCATAGTATGTGAATCACTCCCATTCTCACACACCTATAGATACAGTATTACCTTGTTCCCACTGGTTGCCACAACATAGTACTCGAATCGGTACCTTTCCCACTCACCTTGATGTCGTTCAGGATCGTCATGATGTTTTCAATCCTTCCCTGCAGCGCGCAACATAACAACGCTTCCACAAATGCAGGGTATGACACGATCATCTTCGCTCGCCAAGCCTGTTAACAGGGAAGTATGGTGGTGTGTTAACAGGTAGGTATGGTATGTTAACAGGAAAGTATGGTTTGTTAACAGGTAGGTAGGGTATGTTAAAAGGTAGGTATGGTATGATAATAGGTAAGTATGGTATGTTAACAGGTAGGTATGGTATGTTAATAGGTAAGTATGGTATGTTAACAGGTAGGTATGGTATGTTAACAGGTAGGAATGGTATGTTAGCAGGTAAGTATGGTTTGTTAACAGGTAGGTATGGTATGTTAACAGGTAGGTATGGTATACAATTAGGTAGGTATAGCAAGAAGACGGGTGCGGTATAGTAATAACGGCTACATATTGAGCTCCAGGCAATTAAGCGGAGACCGACACGACCCGTCACCCAGTGTGGCGATGTAAGGCTAAATCGCAGGCTATGCAAGGCTAAATAGTAGGCTATGTGTTTACCTATCGGATGGAATAAGAATGACAAAGAAAGTCAGGTTGAGAATATGTGCAAACCCATGTGAAACTAAGAGACTCGCAGTTATATGGGTAGGAATAGCCGCATGTGTACTGTTATCAAGCTACAAAAGTGTCTCAGATATGCTGAGTGGGGCAGGGCACCCGACCACAGCTGTGCACTTGGACACACGGCCGACAAACCTATAGCACGGATTAAAAATAGATACATAGTCCTCTAACTAAGACAGGATTAATCAGCACTCAAATCACAGATTATAAATAGATACATAGTCCTTTAACTAACACAGGAACAATTAGCACGCCAACTACAGTTTATAAATAGATACATAGTCCTTTAACTAACACAGCAACAATTAGCACTCAGATCACAGATACAAAGCCTTCTGACCGAGACAGGACCAATTAACACGCCAACTACAGATTATAAATAAATACATAGTCCTCTAACTGAGACAGGATCAATCAGCATTCAAAATACAGATTATAAATAGACACATAGTCTTCTAACTGAGACAGGAATAATCAGCACCCCAACCACACAGTACAAGAAACCTGAAATCAATCTCGTCGCTAAAAAACGTAGGCCCGAGTACACACCAGACGATACCCGAAACTAATACCTTCTCTAATGCTTGCATAATTTCGGCAGCAGCATCGGGCCTTCTGGAGTATCGGATCTCTCGCATCTGCGCATACAGGGGATCGGCTGGACAGGTAGACAAGTTATAACCATACGTTACTTTACATATCACATCATTTAAAGTAGTCACTGAGTGTACGAGTATGAAAACGATACTATTCAGGATGTATCATCAAATGTAGTTGCAGTGTATATAGGTACGAGGAAGCGTGAGGGTCGTGTGGTGTAGTCGCAGGTTTTACTTGTATGCGATATCGAGATATGGTCCGAAAATCATACCGCTGAAGGCGACGTTCGACTCACCCGGTATAAATATATATATATATATATATATATATATATATATATACTATTACG